ATGATTTTGCTAAATTGTATCGTCGTTCCTCAGACCCCTTACTATGGATTAATGATTCTCCTATCCTCAGTTTGCACCATACTGAGTATGGACAAGTGATTCTGGATCTTTGGATTCTGTATCTCACCAAGAAAATCAGTGTGTCTCACACCCCGGGCTAGTCAGCTTTCCTGATTCCATTTATACAAAATGACCAGTGATATTAAGCATTCCTTATCAAAGACAATAGCAATCTACTAATGGAACAAGGTTCTCCAGTTCCTTGTCTGGTTCTCCTTGGGTCTTTACTGACATCCCCGAGCCTCATGCTGTATGATGTGTGGTAAAATGATCAGAGATGTAATGATTCTGTGCACTGGTGGATAAGCCACCATATAATGTCACTACAACATTATACTTTTACAATTTGATTTTAATTTGAGCTATCATGTGATCTTCTTTACCAGCCAGCGTGACCAAGGAACAAGAGCAAAACTTCTATACTTCTTAAATACACAACCTCCATGTAAATCATAATACATTGATAGAAGTTATAATAATGATATGTAACAGGGTTGATGTTCCAGGAGGGATAAGCCAAATGACAAATGATTTAGGTAAACTAGAAAAATGGTCAGAATTGTGGCAACTGACATTTAATGTGGATAAGTGCAAGATAATGCATCTTGGACGTAAAAACCCAAGGGCAGAGTACAGAATATTTGATAGAGTTCTAACCTCAACATATGAGGAAAGGGATTTAGGGGTGATTATTTCTGATGACTTAAAGGTAGGCAGACAATGTAATAGAGCAGCAGGAAATGCTAGCAGAATGCTTGGTTGTATAGGGAGAGGTATTAGCAGTAGAAAGAGGGAAGTGCTCATGCCATTATACAGAACACTGGTGAGACCTCACTTGGAGTATTGTACACAGTATTGGAGACCGTATCTTCAGAAGGATATTGATACCTTAGAGAGGGTTCAGAGAAGGGCTACTAAACTGGTTCATGGATTGCGGGATAAAACTTACCAGGAAAGGTTAAAAGGATCTTAACATGTATAGCTTGGAGGAAAGACGAGACAGGGGGATATGATAGAAACATTTAAATATATAAAGGGAATCAACACAGTAAAGGAGGAGACTATATTTAAAAGAAGAAAAACTACCACAACAAGAGGACATAGTCTTAAATTAGAGGGACAAAGGTTTAAAAATAATATCAGGAAGTATTACTTTACTGAGAGGGTAGTGGATGCATGGAATAGCCTTCCAGCTGAAGTGGTAGAGGTTAACACAGTAAAGGAGTTTAAGCATGCATGGGATAGGCATAAGGCTATCCTAACTATAAGATAATGCCAGGGACTAATGAAAGTATTTAGAAAATTGGGCAGACTAGATGGGCCGAATGGTTCTTATCTGCCGTCACATTCTATGTTTTCTATGTTTCTATAATAAGAAACAATTTTATTTATTTTCATGTTCTTAATATCCACAGTTGGGGTTCAGCTTATGGGGAGCATTGCTTGAGAGGAGAATAACGGATGTCTCTCTGTAGCGATGTAAGTGTTAGCTAAATTGATTGACTGTTAATTTGTTAAATAATGTCGTGGATATTTAGAGAGAGTCTTTTAGGCTAAAAAGCCCAGACTGCACATCCATCAAGAGCTCTGTCAATTCATGTTCTGCTTTATTGATGTCTTCATGTCAGATGTAGAATCTCGGAAACAGCTTTGGAGAGGTTGGAGGGGAAATTACATTAATTACGGTGGATCCATAACTTCAGGGTTTCAGTGCTCTATAGAGCTGTGGGCAGGTATACTAGAGGTTGTCAGTTTTATCACATTATCTGCTGCCTCAACTGTAGAGAACAGCGTCATTTCAGATGAGGATCGCTCCAATAGGGCTCCTCTAAAGGCCCAAATGGAGCAACTAGTGCATCATTCCTGTGTAAACGGTCAATGTCCCACCCTGATCTCCGGCTCCCTCACACTGAGTTACATTAGTGTTGGTTTTCTGGTTACTAACTTAAAGGTAGGCAGACAATGTAATAGAGCAGCAGGAAATGCTATAAGAATGCTTGGTTGTATAGGGAGAGGTATTATCAGTAGAAAGAGGGAAGTGCTCATGCCATTGTACAGAACACTGGTGAGACCTCACTTGGAGTATTGTACACAGTACTGGAGACCGTATCTTCAGAAGGATATTGATACCTTAGAGAGGGTTCAGAGAAGGGCTACTAGACTGGTTCATGGATTGCGGGATAAAACTTACCAGGAAAGGTTAAAGGATCTTAATATGTATAGCTTGGAGGAAAGACGAGACAGGGGGGATATGATAGAAACATTTAAATATATAAAGGGAATCAACACAGCAAAGGAGGAGACTATATTTAAAAGAAGAAAAACTACCACAACAAGAGGACATAGTCTTAAATTAGAGGGACAAAGGTTTAAAAATAATATCAGGAAGTATTACTTTACTGAGAGGGTAGTGGATGCATGGAATAGCCTTCCAGCTGAAGTGGTAGAGGTTAACACAGTAAAAGAGTTTAAGCATGCGTGGGATAGGCATAAGGCTATCCAAACTATAAGATAAGACTAAGGACTAATGAAAGTATTTAGAAAATTGGGCAGACTAGATGGGCCAAATGGTTCTTCTCTGCCGTCACATTCTATGTTTCTATGTTTAACTTTACCTTCAATTTCACCTATTGCTCTATTTACTGTATACAGTGTTGTTTGTGTACAATCAGGTTGTGTATAATGTGATGATAATGCTGTATACAGTGTTACTTTGTGTATAGTCAGGTTGTGTATAATATGATAATGCTGTATACAGTGTTACTTTGTGTATAGTCAGGTTGTGTATAATGTGATGACAATGCTGTATACAGTGTTACTTTGTGTATAGTCAGGTTGTGTATAATGTGATAATGCTGTGTACGGTGTTACTTTGTGTATAGTCAGGTTGTGTATAATGTGATGATAATGCTGTATACAGTGTTACTTTGTGTATAGTCAGGTTGTGTATAATGTGACAATGCTGTGTACGGTGTTACTTTGTGTATAGTCAGGTTGTGTATAATGTGTTGATGCTGTATACAGTGTTGTTTGTGTGTATTGTATATTTGCCCTTTGCGGTTTCATTAATTGATTGTCTCGGTTTCCATCTACAGTCTGTGTACGGTGCATTTCTTACATTTCGCTGTAATTTGCACATACATTATGAATAGTCGGAGTGTTTCTCGGGACGCTCTATATTTAGATTACGTTGGTAAGGTCAGTAAATATTAGTAATTCAGCCTCACTGTGCTTTACCTTAACCAATTACATCCTGGTCATACCCTCGATACTACTCTTCAGAAAAATCATCGTTTAGATGACAATATGGTTAATAAACCACAAAACAAGCTAGCAAGGAATCAGTCCTATTTAGTTTGTGTTTAGCACTGGTAGCAATGTACTAATCATAGAGAGAGTTGCCTTTCAATGTAAGGCGCGATCTGGTTGGCTGCGTGTGATGTCGGGGGAATGAGGCACCCAATAAAATCATTCCTGTTTGTTGCTGCTTTTAGGAGAAGACAGAACCTGGAAATTGACATATCTGTTTAATAAAACTGCTTCTACTGAGGAAACCGGAGGACTCATGTAGTTAAATAACAAATAAAATATCCTGAAATAATTTTTAGTTGGTAAAAAAAGTCAATTAACTTGTCTGTTTAAACTCTTCATAAAGGGCTTGGTCATTAGTCCTTGCACCAGTCCCACAACTTTCATCAGACTGGGCCAGTCACCATCTGTGAATGGGGGCCTTTTAGTCCAATCACAAACATGCTCCCTGGTGCCGGCTGTTGTTATAAGAGACTCCTTAAACTCTGATATTCTCCTGTCGATGTTATAATGGTGTTTGGATGTTCTCCTGTCGATGTTATAATGGTGTTTGGATGTTCTCCTGTAGATGTTACAATGGTGTTTGGATGTTCTCCTGTAGGTGTTACAGTGGTGTTTGGATGTTCTCCTGTAGATGTTATAATGGTGTTTGGATATTCTCCTGTCGATGTTATAATGGTGTTTGGATATTCTCCTGTAGATGTTATAATGGTGTTTGCATGTTCTCCTGTTGATGTTATAATGGTGTTTGGATATTCTCCTGTAGATGTTATAACGGTGTTTGGATATTCTCCTGTAGATGTTATAATGGTGTTTGGATGTTCTCCTGTCGATGTTATAATGGTGTTTGGATATTCTCCTGTAGATGGTATAATGGTGTTTGGATGTTCTCCTGTAGATGTTACAATGGTGTTTGGATATTCTCCTGTAGATGTTATAATGGTGTTTGCATGTTCTCCTGTTGATGTTATAATGGTGTTTGGATATTCTCCTGTAGATGTTATAACGGTGTTTGGATATTCTCCTGTAGATGTTATAATGGTGTTTGGATATTCTCCTGTCGATGTTATAATGGTGTTTGATTATTCTCCTGTAGATGTTATAATGGTGTTTGCATGTTCTCCTGTAGATGTTATAATGGTGTTTGGATATTCTTCTGTAGTTGTTATAATGGTGTTTGGATATTCTCCTGTAGATGGTATAATGGTGTTTGCATGTTCTCCTGTAGATGTTATAATGGTGTTTGGATATTCTCCTGTCGATGTTATAATGGTGTTTGGATGTTCTCCTGTCGATGTTACAATGGTGTTTGGATATTCTCCTGTCGATGTTATAATGGTGTTTGGATATTCTCCTGTCGATGTTATAATGGTGTTTGCATGTTCTCCTGTAGATGGTATAATGGTGTCTGGATGTTCTCCTGTAGATGTTATAATGGTGTTTGGATATTCTCCTGTAGATGTTATAATGGTGTTTGGATATTCTCCTGTCGATGTTATAATGGTGTTTGGATATTCTCCTGTAGATGTTACAATGGTGTTTGGATATTCTCCTGTAGATGTTATTATGGTGTTCGATGTTCTCCTGTAGATGTTATAATGGTGTTTGGATATTCTCCTGTCGATGTTATAATGGTGTTTGGATGTTCTCCTGTCGATGTTATAATGGTGTTTGGATATTCTCCTGTCGATGTTATAATGGTGTTTGGATATTCTCCTGTAGATGTTACAATGGTGTTTGGATATTCTCCTGTAGATGTTATAATGGTGTTTGGATGTTCTCCTGTAGATGTTATAATGGTGTTTGGATATTCTCCTGTCGATGTTATAATGGTGTTTGCATGTTCTCCTGTAGATGTTATAATGGTGTTTGGATATTCTCCTGTAGGTGTTATAATGGTGTTTGGATATTCTCCTGTAGATGTTACAATGGTGTTTGCATGTTCTCCTGTAGATGTTACAATGGTGTTTGGATATTCTCCTGTAGATGGTGTAACGGTGTTTGGATGTTCTCCTGTCGATGTTATAATGGTGTTTGGATATTCTCCTTTAAATGTTATAATGGTGTTTGGATATTCTCCTGTAGATGTTATAATGGTGTTTGGATATTCTCCTGTCGATGTTATAATGGTGTTTGGATATTCTCCTGTAGGTGTTATAATGGTGTTTGGATATTCTCCTGTAGATGGTATAATGGTGTCTGGATGTTCTCCTGTAGATGTTACAATGGTGTTTGGATATTCTCCTGTCTTTGTTATAATGGTGTTTGGATATTCGCCTGTCGATGTTATAATGGTGTTTGGATATTCTCCTGTAGGTGTTATAATGGTGTTTGGATATTCTCCTGTAGATGGTATAATGGTGTTTGGATGTTCTCCTGTAGATGTTACAATGGTGTTTGGATATTCTCTTGTAGATGTTATAATGGTGTTTGTATGGCTCTGTGATTGTAATGGGTTCCCATTTCGTGATGAGAGTCAAAGCTTGCTGGTTTATTAGCCAGAATATCCAGCATCAATAATCCCACCAAACTGTATAATCAAATGCACAAAGCGGCCCTCACTGGCCCACTGATTAAACACTGTGTTTGGGTTAAAGTAACCCTTTAGAACAAGTAGAGGCTGTGCAAGTAGTTGCTGTGTGCACAAACAAAGGTGCTACTGACCTTTTATTTGGAGGACAAATAACAAACGTTTTGGGGTAATCCCTTTCTCAATGCATCGTGTCCCTTGGGAGTAACCCTTTACAGAGTTTGTATGTTTTTATCTGGGGATCTTTGGATGTGTTCCTGTGATTACATACTATATGTTGTGTTAAAGGAACATTTTGTATATTTGCTTGATTTTGGTAACATAGGCCACATTGGGACTGACACATCCCAAACATCTGTGCACACAATACTACATAGAGAGGTTTGCTCAACCATTTCTCAAAAACTCGTATTAATCAAATCAAGAACTGATCCTCACTAGTGTGCTCGTTAAATGACGTAAAGGATTTGTTTATATTTACTGGACTGATCCAGCTTGTCAATGGGAATATGATAGAAACACATTCATTCTGAGATTGGATTTTATTATAAGAATGCTCTGGTTATTGAATAGCGCTGTCCCGATAGATGTCAATGGGAGACATGTTCAGACATGTTTATCCCTCATAGAATAAAGCCTTAGAATATTAAACAAAACATTTTACAACATGAGAGTACAGATTCAGGGATAAACTCATGTCTGCCTTTGACATGGATTGGAATATTGCAATTTAGTGACTAGAGGTTTGTTTGCCTCCTACAATAGAATCCAACCCTTCGTGTGCGGATATCCCAGTTTGCTGCTATTATTGTCTTGTATGTTTTAATTGTTCATTGCACAGACTGCAGAATATGTTTGGGATTTATGAATAAATAATACGTTATTTTTTCTTCTTCCATTAGGCAATGAACTGTTAGAAGATTCACCATACGAACCTGTAAATAACCGGCTGTCTGATATCTTCAAACCAGATTCCGGCCTTGCAGGTAAGTAGCCTTTCTGCAAGCGATAGGTTCCTTGCAGTATGTTCTATTTGATGAGAATGTCAGGATTCATTGGGAGTGTATGTATCCTGGTATTAGATTTATACAGAGAGGGTTTATATTCTGGAAGTCCCTGTCTCATACAATGCATTACGTGATCACACAGCTATTTATTTAATTTTATTTATTTAATATATTGTTTACTGTTTGTTAGACTTAAAGGGACACTTCACTCTCCAAATACAAAATAACAAAAAATCATAGCATTTAATTGTGCATTTGTTCATTGGAGTTTGGAGCCTTTGTATGCCCTCCCCTTCTAACCCCGCCCAGACTTTCTGTGGTTGTCCAATCACAGGCTTTCCAAGGCAGCTCAATGAGAAGTCTTTGCAAGGCAGGTGCTCTTAGCAATCGCTGCCTCTCGGGTTTATCTCCACTGAGCTAAACAAACCAGAAAGTAACAGGACCGGCTGTCTGATTGAAAGCTAGGGAGGTGTAGCAAGGCTCATTTATAAAAATGTAAATTTCTATTGAAATCTGCACTTTTTGAAAAATGGAAAAAAAAAAAGGACACACTTCGCACATAAAGCGTTTCAGCAAGATACAGTGCTTTAGGGGTACTGGGGTGTCCCTTTAAGGCTCGTACTATAGCACAATCCTTGTAGCTTGCATAACTTTTTATTAAACAGTGAGACATTATTCCTTAATTAAAGTAAAAAATAGGCCAATTGGAAAAAAAATCTCCAGCTGGCTATTTAGGTCCAACATTTGCTATTAAGGTTTGTTATTGAGTTGATGAATTTTCATTTAATTTCCTTGTCTGTGATTTTAGTTATTGAGTTACAATATATTGTAATAGTTTATCCCATGTGAAGGAGTTGCCAATCTCCCATGGATTCTCAGATTGGGTTGGGTGCAGTGCGATAGGTGACAGTAAAGAACACACCCATACTCTAATGATTTACGCCTGCCGCAGGATGTCCCTTCATTGTTTCATGATACAACATGGCTGTTGACCACCCTTTGTGCTATGCCTACAGGGGACAAGTGTGCAATTTGGGGACATGTGGTGACCTCGTGTTCCACTACATTATATTCACTCACGCTTCAGACTGTGTTCTGCTGATTCCAAGCTTTATGTTTGTAATCACATACACTGTAATGACGGATACGTGTTTTCACCTGTTACCTGTATTTCTATATTTATTACTTGGATAAAATCTTTATCTCTGTATGCTCTGTACTGCATGCCTGAATATGAACGATAATGATTTTAATATCTGGAGGCTTTCCATTTTTTTCACTGGTGCATAGATAGTCAGTGCTTCAGTCAGATAATTCTGCAAATTCACATTCTGTATAAACTGATTTAAACACGACACATGCAGTGCTCAGACTGTGATGTGTGCTTACTGGTGTGACCTGTAGGTGGCAGCATTATTCCCTTCATCTGACGTGCTCAGTATCGCTACGTCTTGTGGACGCATCCTCGATATACTGAGAGCAAGGCTCCAAAAGCACGTTTATTGTTTCACTTCTTCTTTTGAAAAGAAGCATCCGGTTTGTAAAGGGTGGTCTTTCCGCATCCAGTATCCTTTCCTACCATCGAGAGCAGTCTTGTAGAACAGATTTATAATCCTTTTAGCAGAGAATCTGCTTCTTTGTTACTGACATTTCAAGGAAAGAAAGAAGTATGGGGAACCAAACAGTCTTGCAATCCAATTATTCTCACTTTGAATGGCTGAATATATATTTTTGAACTTGGCTCAGCTCAGTGGTGCTTCACAGCCCTACGCCTCAGGAATCCCCAAAACATTGACTTTTAATGCAAAATGCTACTCTCAGAAAAGCGTTGCACGCTAGAATTAAAATGTTTCTTGATGCACATGCAAAATGTGGCCAAAAATAGAGAGCTGTGTTTTGTATAGAGAATCATTTGGGGGCAAAGTTGTAAAAGTGGAGCAGTTGCCATAGAAACCAATGTTCCTGCTGATTGCTCAACTTTTAGAACTTTTCCCAGAATTGCTCATTATACCGCACACAGCCAAGTGCAGTAGCCTGACACCGGTTTAACCAATATTCGCTCACATTACACGGCAGTGAACTCAATATTACTAATTGAATTTATACGGTAAGAGAGGGGGGGGTGGGAGAGATTTATAGTTAATCCTTTTAGTTCTGCAATGTGAGAACGCACACATTGTATTCTCTGCTAAATTGCTTGTGTAACCTACAGCTGTAACGGAGCATCACTAATTAGCATGTTTTTCTCACATTTCAGTAAAACATGCCCTTGATGCATAATAAAAAAACAAACAAACATATAGGTAGAGGTACACCAAGAAACATTTTTAAAAGACATTGGTACTTTTGAAAGTATATTTATTACAATATTTATTGAGAATGTGAAAGGGCTCATATATATTTATATCTCAATAGTGCGTTATTCTATCGAGGAATCGTAGGAAAACTTTTATTGGAACACAAGTTCTGAAATCATAGTAGACTGGCTTAGACCTTGAATGCGTAGGATGGCCATAAACAACCATGTTCCTCTTTAATAGGTTGCGCCTTGATGTTTGAAAACCCAGGAAGAATTTGGCTCAACTTAGAAGGCACCAGGTGGATACAACTTGGTTAATTCTGGTTCCCGACAAAGTGAACTCTGGTGTCAGCTTAATTTGGCAAGAAACTGTGGGTCACTTTTAGGTTTTTGCAAGTCCTTAAATAGTTGGACAAACCCTACACCTGTCTGCAGAGTTAGCTTGGAACCCAGCCAGGGCCGGATTAACATAGCTGCAGCTCCAGGCCCATGTGTCAGGGTCTTACCTGAGTTGGGAGTCTGTAGCGCAGATATGATGCTCACCCTTGCAGATAGCCACAGGCCGAGGTGGTCAGGTAAGAATTCACCTGGCCTGTGGGTCTGTGCACGGGGGCTGTGCAGGATGCAGTACCAATACGCAGGACAGGCAAGGACTGAACCAGCAGGATGGTCGAGGGATAGCCGAGGTCAAAGGATGCCAGAGGACAGGAACAACGAGGAGTAGCCGAAGTCAAGGGATGCCAGAAGTCAGAATAAACGAGTCAGGAAGCCGGGGTCAATAATGCGAAGCGATGAAACAGGAACACTGGAACAAACAGGATCAAGGACTTGACACTGAGCACAGGGCGAGGCTGGGTTTAAATACCCTGCTGATGATTGATCAGAGTCAGGTGAAACACAGCCAAGTCAAGGTGCAGCCCCCAGAGTAGTAGCCATGTCAGGATGAATAGGATTGGAATCAGTCTTCACAGTAAATAGCTGCTGTGGCTCAGAGGTAGAAAGCAGGACCAGGACTGAGAAGATCCCCGGTTCAAGTCCCCTGTTGGGAACTCCAAGAGCGACCACGTCTTGCCGTCTGTCTATCAGGTGAGAACCGTGACAGTACCCCCCCCTTTAAAAACGACCTCCGGGCGTGAACGGGTTCATTGTCAGCATAGTACACCTCTCCAGAGTCACTATCTGAATCCAGTGAGTCCCCATAGTCAAACTCCCCAGCAAGGATTCCCTTTACAGCTTGGGAGTCCGCAGTACCAGCTTCTGGTACGGCTGGAGAATTGTCCAGGTCTTTTAGGTTCCGGGTACAGGTGGCAAGCACTTCCAAAACTTTGGCAGGGGCAGTGTTCGCAGCTAACAATGCTTTTTCGAACATTACAAGGTCTTCTTTACGGACTATAGTGCCATTAGAAGCAACGGCACAATCCACAGGTAAAACCTCTTCGGGCGGGCAGGAAGTAGTGGTGGTATCACAGGAAGCAACTTCGGGAGTAGATGCAGGAGGCTCTGGAGCAGGGGATGGAGGTTTTCTCGCGGAAGCCAAGCATGTGCAAGCACAACGGCTTCTATTTGGCTTTTTAGGCTGGTATGCGGTGTACACAGGGCGAAGGAAACTAGTACCAAGTCGGAGAGCTGGAGGTCTAGGAGGGCGAACAGGACAAAGCGTGA